CAGTGAAAGTGACCTTCAAGGCAGAATCGACTCGGAACAGGATCTTGCAGGAGAAAGCACGGTTAAGGGACATGCTGGAATACTGGAAGGTGTATCTCGACCGCAACAGAACACAAGAAGAAAGGCAGAAACTGAGTGAGATGGTGTAAAGGCGAAAGGAGGAAGGAGAGGGGATTGAGAAGACAGACAGGAGATCCCAGACTCAGGAAGAAGATTAAATACAGCCTCCCTCACAACTTCCTATAGAAGCCTCCCAACCAGGTCAACCCCAATGCAATCAAACACACTAAACCAAAACACCCATGCCACATCCAATGCCCCCACCCACTGCATTACAAACTCCACCCCCACAGCAACCACTCATAGTTCCTTATCAGGTCTCCCACTTCCCCAACCCAAATATACCTCCCAGACCACAGTCTCAGAAAAGAAGTTGAAGATGTGGTATACAAATGCAGATGGAATAACAAATAAGTATGAGGAGTGGCATGAAAAAATCAAGGAGACTCCCAGACATAATAGCACTCACAGAAACAAAAACTCACCAGAATAATAACAATTCAATCTTTCCACCCGGATATCCCAAAACCCCAGGAAAGACAGAGGGAGGAGAGGGGGAGGAGGAGTTGCACTGCTCATTAAAAACCAGTGGGGGGTTGAGAAAATGGAAGGAATGGATGGCACGGGCGAAAGGGACAACTTAGTAGGAACAATCCAGTCTGTGGGACATAAGGTGATAATTGCAGTAATGTACAACCCACCACAGAACTGCAGGAGGCCAAGAGAAGAATACGATGAGAGCAACAGAGCAATGGTCGACACACTAGCCGAGGTAGCCAGGAGAGCACACATGGGAGGAGCAAAGTTACTAGTTATTGCTGATTTCAACCACAACGAGATTGACTGGGAAAACCTGGAGCCCCATGGGGGTCCCGAAACATGGAGAGCCAAGATGATGGATGTGGTACCAGAGAGAGAGGAGAGGATGAACCAGCAAGACTGGACCTTGTATTCACCTTGAGTAGTTCGGACATCGAAGATATCATGTATGAAAGGCCCCTGGGAGCTAGTGATCATGTGGTTCTGTGCTTCGGCTACATAGTTGAGCTCCAATTGGAGAGAGTAGCAGGAATAGGTTGGGAAAACAAAACTACAAAAGGGGGAACTACTCAGGCATGAGGAACTTCCTTCAAAACATTCAGTGGCCGAGGGAACTGACGGGAAAAACCCCAGAATAAAAAAATGAGGGACTCTGTGGCAACAAAATGCAAGGAGGCAGAGGAGAGGTTTGTTCCCAAGGGAAACAGAAATAATGATGAGAACAAAACGAGTCCTTGGTTCACCCAAAGGTGTAGGGAGACAAAAACTAGGTGTACTAGAGAATGGAAAAGGTACAGAAGACAGAGAACTCAGGAAAATAAAGAGATTAGCCAAAGAGCCAGAAACGAGTATGCACAGATAAGAAGGGAGGCTCAGCGACAATATGAAAATGACATAGCATCGAAAGTCAAGACTGACCCGAAGCTGTTGTACAGCCACATCAGGAGGGAAACAACAGTCAAGGACCAGGTAATCAGACTGAGGAAGGGTGATGGGGAGTTCACAAAAAAACAACCGAGAGGTATGTCAGGAGCTCAACACGAGATTTAAAGAAGTATTTACAGTGGAAACCAGTAGGACTCCAGGTAATCAGAACAGGGGGGTACACCAGCAAGTGCTGGATGGGGTACATATAACCAAGGAGGAGGTGAAGAAGCTGCTATGCGAACTTGACACCTCTAAGGCAGTGGGACCAGACATCTCTCCGTGGGTCCTTAAAGAGGGAGCAGAGATACTGTGTGTGCCATTAACAAAGATCTTCAACACATCATTTGAGACTAGGCAACTCCCATAGGTATGGAAGATGGCAAATGTAGTCCCAATTTTTAAAAAGGGAGACAGACATGAGGCACTAAACTACAGACCTATATCACTAACGTGTATAGTATGCAAGGTCATGGAGAAGATCATCAGGAGGAGAGTGGTGGAGCACCTGGAAAGAAACAAGTGTATAATTGACAACCAGCACGGTTTCAGGGAAGGAAAATCCGGTGTCACAAACCTACTAGAGTTTTATGACATAGTGACAGAAGTAAGACAAGAGAGAGAGGGGTGGATCGACTGCATTTTTTTGGGCTGCAAGAAGGCCTTCGACACAGTTCCTCACAAGAGGTTACTGTAAAAGCTAGAGGATCAGGCACACATAACAGGAAAGGCACTGCAATGGATCAGAGCATACTGACAGGGAGGCAACAACGAGTCATGGTACGTGACGAGGTGTCAGAGTGGGCGCCTGTGACAAGCGGGGTTCCACAGGGGTCAGTCCTAGGAACTGTGCTGTTCTTGGTATATGTGAACGACATAACGGAAGGGATAGACTCAGAAGTGTCCTTGTTTGCAGATGATGTGAAGTTAATGAGAAGAATCAAATCGGATGAGGATCAGGCAGGACTACAAAGAGACCTGGACAGGCTACAAGCCTGGTCCAGCAACTGGCTCCTTGAGTTTAACCCTGCCTAAATGCAAAGTCATGAAGATTGGGGAAGGGCAAAGAAGACCGCAGACACAATATAGTTTAGGTGGCCAAAGACTGCAAACCTCACTCAAGGAAAAAGATCTGGGGGTGAGTATAACACCGAGCATATCTCCCGAGGCGCACATCAATCAGATAACTGCTGCAGCATACGGGCGCCTGGCAAACCTACGGATAGCGTTCCGATACTTCTGTAAGGATTCATTCAAGACTTTGTATACCATTTACGTCAGGCCCATATTGGAGTATGCAGCACCAGTTTGGAATCCACACCTAGTCAAGCACGTCAAGAAATTAGAGAAAGTGCAAAGGTTTGCAACAAGACTAGTCCCAGAGCTACGGGGATTGTCCTACGAAGAAAGGTTGAGGGAAATCGGCCTGACGACACTGGAGGACAGGAGGGTCAGGGGAGACATGATAACGACATAAAATACTGCGCGGAGTAGACAAGGTGGACAAAGACGGGATGTTCCAGAGAAGGGACACACATACAAGGGGTCACAATTGGAAGTTGAAGACTCAGAAGAATCAAAGGGATTTTAGGAACTATTTCTTCAGCCATAGAGTTGTCAGGTCGTGGAATAGCCTAGAAAGTGACGTAATGGAGGAGGGAACCATAAATAGTTTTAAGGCGAGGTATGATAAAGCTCATGGGGCAGGGAGAGAGAGGACCTAGTAGCAATCAGCGAAGAGGCGGGGCCAGGAGCTATGACTCGACCCCTGCAACCACAAATAGGTGAGTACACACACACACACACATATATATATATATTATATATATATATATATATATAATATATATATATATATATAATATATATATATATATATATATATATATATATATATATATATGCAATTAGATCACAGTAAACATGTGATTTCAGAATATGCAAAACAACCACTGTGAAAGAATTGAGAAATTCCAAGTGCTTTCGTGAATACTAACATGATTTATTAAGTTTCTTATCTGAAGAACTCGTTAATTATGATTTACCATTGTCAGTTCCTACTATCATTAAGCTTATTAAACTTTGCATTGTTGATGCAAAATTTGTATTTAAAGATAACTTTTACACTCAGAAGTTTGGTATGGCAATGGGAAATCCTCTTTCACCTGTTCTTAGTAACCTATACATGGAATTTTTTGAAACAAGGTTACTTAACACAATCCTCCCTAATAGAGCTAAATGGTTCAGGTATGTTGATGATATTTTGTGTCTTATGCCCAAGAATGTAGATATACACCATTTCCTTGGTAAATTAAATAGCTTAGCCCATTTTATAAACTTTACTGTTGAGTTTGAAGAAAATAACTCCTTGCCTTTTCTAGGTGTTTTAATTATTAAGAGTAATAATGAATTCAAATTTAAAATTTACAGAAAACCTACAAATAACTGTTCCTATGTACACTATTATTCTTCACATCAAGATAGAGTTAAACTGTCTGTTTTCTCATCAGTGTTTTTGAGAGCTTTGCATATTTGTAGTCCAGAGTTCATAGATGAAGAAATATTCAAAATTTATGAAATAGCTAATGATCTGAAATACCCAAGAAACGTAAAATTGATAAATCTTTTAAAGTTGCTAGAAATACTTTTTACAATCCAAAAAGGGACAACCAACCTTATTCAGCTAAAAATATGTTGGTTCTCCCTAACCATGAAAACTTAGTTGATATTCCTTCTCTTCTTAAGACTTTTAATATCAAAGTTGTATTTAAAAATCCTGATACAGTAAAAAAACTTTTGATAAAGAGTTCCCCCCAAAATGCTGATGGATGTGGCAATAAGATTTATTAAGGTCAAACTGATAAAAGTTTCGAACTAAGGTTAAAACATAAATATAGCATTAGAAATTTTAACAATCCAATTGATTTTCAAAAAGTTGAGAAAGTTGTATCAAGCAAGTCCATGGCCGACAGGAATATTGAGGAAATTTATTCGGTCCTAAAAGTTCCACAGGACAGATACGGCGTACAAAGATCCCAACATGGCCGTGTATGAAACGGCTGGATAGGGTGGCCCTTACACCCAACCAAAACACACACACACACACACCACCCGGGTTGGCGAAGGTGGTTGGAAGGTACTTCTTAATTGATAGATTTACCCTTCAGGGAAGAAGTAGGTAGTTTATACTGTTAGTACACTAATATTAGGATTATTGAAACAACTGTAGATAATAATAATATAGACCTTAACGTAGGGAGTAATAGGCCGATAATGTAGGCAAACACTAGGTTATGTTAACCAGAGAGAACTGGCAGCCCAAGTTTGAATACTGGGGCATGAGTCTGAGACCGCAATGCCCTTTCTTCTAAGACTAGACACCGTCGAAGCAGCAAGTGCCGTGATCAGCAGGTGGTGCCCCCACGTGTCTTCTCATACTAGACCTGGGGAAATCTGGTGGAGGCACCTCGACGTACCATAGATGTCCTCCATCAGGCCCATACAGTAAGACGAGACCTCCCTTTTCTCTACTCGATCCTGGCCAGTGTCTGTCAGTGGCCGTCAGAGCCTAGAGAAGCTCCGAATCGAAGTTATGAGTTTGACAAATAGTTTTAAAGATTTGCATGATTGGGGTAAGTCAGAATGGTTCATCAGTCAGGTGATTCAGAGGAAACTGGCTGGCACTACAGTGCATGAGTTACACTTAAAATTTCGGGTGAACAGGTTCACGATACAACAAACTGTTGAGGGGTTGGGAGATCTCGTTTCTCATTTGAGTGTAGGTGTGAGAGAAGAGTCACCACCATCACCACATAAAAACACACACAGTCACTCAAAGATCTCGAGTGATCAGTCTAAAGCTCATACGACTAATGTTGGAGTGTACTATGGTAAAGAAGTGTCTAAGGTAAGAACCTCTAAGCAGAACCTCAGAGGCACTCATGCCAGAATATGTGTTCTGCGAAGGCGAACACGCTAGCACGAGTTACTCGGAGTATACAACACTGAGCAGTAGGCAACAGAGACTAAAGGAGTTGAGACTCTCCTTCAAATGTTGTGGGGAACACTTTGCTAGAAACGGTGACACCCAGCTCAGTGAGTGTCGAGTCTGTTGCAAAGGTAAGCACCATACTGCACTATGTCCCAATAATTTAAGGGAACCCCAGGCTAGTAGGGATATATCTCAGGTAGAGATAGGAAGTGAGTCTGAGCTTGAAATGGTAGCCAGCGTGATTAGTGGGAGTGAAGTCACTAATCCGAGTGAGAATCACGGAGGTACTTCCCTACCTACAGTCATGGCAAAGGTTGTGAATGGGCACAGGTCCGAAACAACCCGATTATTCTTTGACTCAAGAGCACAAGTATCCGTGATAACAAAGAAGTTGGTGGCTAAATTAAAGTTGAAGGCCACCAGGAAAGTTAGTATGATGTTGGGAGGGGCTATAAGTCAGGCCCCACCCAAATCTTATGACGTGGTGGATGTCACAGTCAAATTAGGTGGACATCGCAGAGACATTACAGCCTTGGTGGTAGAGACGTTACCCACGGCAATTACAGTGAGAGGTCTTGCTGTAGCAGCAAAGCGATTGAAAGACCTTGGCGTGAAGCTGGCAGGCCAGGGAATTACCACTGACACAGTTAGAAATGTAGGTATCCTGGTGGGAGCCAGCCAGATAGATGACTTCCTGTCTACACGACGGACGTTTAAGGAAGGAATTGGTTTATACAGATCCCCAGTAGGATACATTATAGGTGGCAGGATTCCACCTGAATTCCATGCCACACTAGAGAGAGAAAAAGGAGTCCCCATGATAGCTGGGGGAGTAGTGATAATGAGTACCAGTATACACGATGAACCGCCAGGGAAGCTGAACCAGGTAGGGAGTGACGAACACTCGGCCACCTTGGAAAGACACTTTTACGGGGCACATAAACAGGGAGATAGATTGCCATTAAATCCAGGGAACTTCGTAGCAGTGGGAGGAAAGGCTACCAGAGCATGTGGGCCACTGGGTGGGAAAGTATGGAGCCACTCAGTCAAGGCTAGACATACGAAAGATGTTAAAGTTAAAAGAAAGGGTGCTAAGACCACCGGAACCAACGAGTTTACACCCCCAGAGATCCACGCGGGGAAAACTGGACAGTTGAAGTTAGACTGGAGTCTGCTCGACGAGAGTAGACCTGACGGCACTCGTGTCCAGGGTCCGCTGTGGGGGCTCACAGAAGGGGAACTTGATGTAGACTTAGCGCCTACCTTCGCCGGTGGGAGGATGTGGAAATTTATTCGGTCCTAAAAGTTCCACAGGACAGATACAGTGTACAAAGAACCCAACATGGCCATGTATAGAAGGGCTGGATAGGGTGGCCCTTACACCCAACCAAAACAAACACACACACCCGGGTTGGCGAAGGTGGTTGGAAAGTACTTCTTAATTGATAGATTTACCCTTCAGGGAAGAAGTAGGTAGTTTATACTGTTAGTACACTAATATTAGGATTATTGAGGCAATTGTAGATAATAATAATGTAGACGTAAGCCCTTAACGTAGGTAGTAATAGGCCGATAATATAGGCAAACACTAGGTTATGTTAACCAGGGAGAACTGGCAGCCCAAGTTTGAATACTGGGGCACGAGTCTGAGGCCGCTGTGCCCTTTCTTCTAAGACTAGACACCGTCGAAGCAGCAAGTGCCATGATCAGCAGGCGGTGCCCCCATGTGTCTTCACATACTAGACCTGGGGAAATCTGGTGGAGTCACCTCGGCGTACTGTTGATGTCCTCCTCCGTCAGGCCCATACAGTAAGACGAGACCTCCCTTTTTTCTACTCGATCCTGGCCAGTGTCTGGGGAAAATTGTGAGTGAACCGTGCTGTGGCATTTGTGCACTGACAGTTCATGACCAGTACGTACCGGCGTCTCTTGTCTGTCTACAAGCTAGTGTCACTCTCTGCATAGTTAGACTAGGGGATACACCCCCCCCCTTGGAAACAGGAATTTATGAGGTGCAGGCAGGTCACTAATATCGATCGAATATTGCAGGAATTAAGGCTCCCGGTTGCACGTGGTTCTGAGAGGAAGTCCAGAGGGCTAAGCTTAGGGAGGTTGAAGACCAGAATAGATTCTCCAACACAAGTAAGTTAGTCCTTCATACGTGCATGCAGGCGAGATTTCTTGCAACATCAGTCATTTATGAAAATCTGTCCTATAAGTCACGAGTGAGGCTGAAGTACCAACCTCAGGGCTCGGTGTCAACTGAGCTTACCAGGGTAGACAACTCACATAGAGGCAGTCCAGACAAATTTTCACAAGTGGTCCTTTGAATCGTGATGTGGAATAGCTAGGTTAAAATTAACATAGCTAGGCCACAGTTAGGAACCAGTTTAACAGAGTTAGGTTAAGTTAGCACCCAGGCCCAGAGTAACACACAGGCTAGGCCAAGCTGACTATGCACAGAAGTTGTTATTTGCAGTAATTTACAGGCAGGCCAGGTAGGCTAGAGAAGCTTGTGAATTTAATTATTTACAGTGAATACAAGTAAACCAGAGTAGGAGACTTGTGTGTTAATTACTTACAGTGGATTTGCAAGGTAGCCACAGTTAGGCTAGGCTTGTGCAATATTTACAACAGTTATAGTAGCTAGGACAGATTTAACCTAGTTATTTTTTAAAGGGAGTTCTAAAGCTAGGTTTAGGGTATAGCACATAAGTAAGGTTAGGATTACCTTATCCAACCATCCACGCTAGACTGAGTAAGCTGGGCACAGTTAGGCCAGGCTGTTTACACACATTATTTATTTACTGTTTCACAGGTTGAATTGTTGAATTTATATGTGCTAACCAAGTGATTTTTAATTTGTATACTGCATTTTCATTGTGTGATTTTCATTGATTTGTACCAGAGACTAAGTTATGTCCTGCAATTATTTGTTGACGTTGTACAGGAAATTGCTAGGTTAAGCTTTCATATTGATACACATTTCGATTGGGATTTGAGAGCTAACACTGTACATTTTGAGTAGAATCAATATAATAAAGGGAATTGTTAAGCTTGTTGAGGAGCCTTGAGACTTGTTCATTCTTGACTAACACCGTTCGTGCTGTGGGGTGGGCTAATTGAAGTACAAATTAGTACCGTGATCTTAACTAAACCGCGACTATGGCGGATGAAGATGGAGTGCCAGTTGTCTCAGCTGTAAGTCAATTAAAGCGGTCTATGGGAGCCTATAAGGGACGCCTTAACAAAGCACGTGAGGAGTGTCGTATGGCCAGGCAAGATCAGGATGTAGACTGTGAGGAACTAGAGAGTTGCCTGAAACCTTTGGAGGAAAGGTTGGGGGCCTTTGAGAGATCATTTATCCTTTATGAGACAGAGGCCTATGCTGCATGTGAGTCTGACTATACAGTCGAGGTAGCTCGGAAGGACTATGACGAACGAAGGGCAGAGTGTAAAGCAGAGATGAAGCTCTGCAGGCAGTTAATAAAGACTTTGAAGGCCGGTATGGCAGGGGGAGCAAATATTTCAGGGAGCACGAACAGCATCATGCCTATTAATGTGTTGCCCAGATTGCCCCAGCTGAATTTACCAACGTTCGACGGAACCTTAACAGAGTACATTGCTTTCTGGGATCAGTTTAAAGCCCAAGTAGATGACAGAGACGATTTGTCAGATGCCGTCAAATTACAGTATTTACGTTCACAGCTCAAGGGTAAAGTCTTGGACTTGGTCCGGCATTACCAAACCACTGACACTAATTACCAACATGCCAAAGACCAATTAAAGGACATGTTTGGCAACACTGAGGAGATAAAGGTAGCTATACTTTATCGATTGTTGGATCTAGAGGCTTGTCGCCATGACCATCAGAGCCAAGAGAAGCTCCGAATCGAAGTTATGAGTTTGACAAATAGTTTTAAAGATTTGCATGATTGGGGTAAGTCAGAATGGTTCATCAGTCAGGTGATTCAGAGGAAACTGGCTGGCACTACAGTGCATGAGTTACACTTAAAATTTCGGATGAACAGGTTCACGATACAACAAATTGTTGAGGGGTTGGGAGATCTCGTTTCTCATTTGAGTGTAGGTGTGAGAGAAGAGTCACCACCATCACCACAGTCACTCAAAGATCTCGAGAGATCAGTAAGGCTTTTTCCCTAATTAAAATGAAATTAAGCGGTGCACCTTTCTTTGTCTTTTGTTTGATCCATTCAAGCAACAAGTTTCCTGTTTTATTTTTTTATTGTGATCTATGTGTCATTATTTTCATGAGATGACATCCTGGATTATTCATTACACAAGCTCGTATATTCACCACATTCTTTTTAACTGTATGAACTTATGCTTCTTGAAGGCCATAGTCCCTCGCTATATCCACCACAAGTGAGCCACTCTTTAGCTTGTCTAATATCTCAATTTTCTTCATAACTCCTAGACTTATATGCTGAAACTTTTTCTTGCCACTTTCAGCAACACTTGTCTGTTTACTGGGTGCTAT